TTGTAAGATATTTCATAGTAGGCTTGAGGCTCTTAATACGAGTACTATTTCATGAACCTGTACCTATATTACATCGATACTTTTTCCTATTTCATATCATATTGGCAATTGTTTGACTTCCGTGAATAAGTGTAAGGCTTTGTTGGTCCCCGCAAGTCTGTGAGTAATATCGGCGAGTATTGAAAGTTTGAAACAATAAAAATCAATTGTCTATTAAACGCGCAGGTGAATCAGTGAACCAGCTCACGACTTGACTCCATTTGACTCACGCCCTCGTCATTGGTGAACCACATATTGACATTATCCAAGGACGGTACAATTTTAAGGATCAGGCAATATTCTGAAGGAAAAAAATGGTCGTCGCCTGATCATTATTAGCCGTTAAATGTCTGTGGTGAACTGGAGATACAATGTTTGTCAGTTAAAGTTCGGAATAATAGTATTTTATACCGAGTGAGCTAATACTGATGATGATGATGACTCATTTGCTGTCTTTAATGTATTTTGAAACCTGCAAGTTTCCGAATTCTGAAAATTTGCGTTTTCATCTTTTTAATAAATTATTGTAGCTCGTTATACATGTATGCTAATAAAAAAAAATTAAATATTTTGGGAACTAAATACTTATTTCAAGAAGCCCGTTTTATTTCTTTCAATGTCATATTTTTTACAATTGAGTGATTCTAATCTAGTGGGAAAACTTTTCATCATCAAACCTACCTGAAAACTCGTAAGGCAAACGGTAGTGCACGCAGGGAACAGCAACATAATCCAAGTTTGGCAGCGACTCTACCTGATTCCGACACATAGAACTAATTAAAAAAATTACCAAATTAGGTTGTCACCTGTAACCGAGGCAGTGATTGTTTATAAATTTTAAATGTTAGGTATATTCACTGGCTTCCTCGCAGTTCCATAACTTTTATTAAACCTAAAAACAGTTGGTTTCCTCCCCACACCTGGGTAGGTAACCCAATTCCTCCAGTGTCATTGTCAAGGTGTACAAACTTTGACGTGACGTCGCATGGTATGATGCATGAATGAACAAACAATAGCCATGCAACTTATGTAAGTAATTACGCCTGTTAAACCGAACTCGGCTGTGGCCCATAACGGTGGTATAAAACTCTGGTGGCACTTCGCCGCGATCTAGTGACGACTTGACGTTCCGAATTTAATTGTGTTCTGGCAAAGGACTTTTATTTATTTATGTGCTTGGTGAGTGGATGAATCAAATTGTGAATTGTTTAGTGAATGAAGGAATACCTTAAAATTATTATAATAAAAAAATAATTAAAACTTGGGTGGTACTCTAACAATATTTTAATTATTGATTGATTTCGAACTAATTATGTTGAACTTTTTTTTTTTTTTTTAATCCACAACGAGGAAGCTCTTGGCCTGTATCTCACCTGATGGTAAGTGACGATCAGGCCGAAGGTGGAAGCGAGCTTCACCCGGAATCCTCAACCACGAAGGAACTGGCTATCTTACCTCTAACTGCCGGAACACAACAATGCTGTTAAAATTGTTGTTATGGCGACAGACTTAGGTAAGATGGTGGTAGCTAGCCAGGCGGACTTAGAACAAGCCCTACCACCAACCAAACCGAACAGAAAAATCCGCCCCCACTTGGAATCGAACCCGGGACCTCTGCGTCTGAAGCAGGTGGTCTTACCACTAGACCACAGAGGCGGTTAAAAAAATTAAAATAACTACATTTTTATCTCTTTGATTAGTTAAGCTAACAATGAAACACTTCTGAATAAACAATTGAAAAAGCTAGTTACGAGTAAATGCCTAATTTATTTATTAATGTAACTTTTTAACATTTACATAGGCAATTACTTACTCTTGTTTATTTTCAGTTGTTGGCTAAATTCGCCCAACTAAAGTAAAGCTTTTTTACACTTTAAAATACGATTGGGAAATATACTCGCAGTATTGATTAATTTTAAAAAGCATACTAATTGAACTAAATATTTTAAAAGATGACTTAAAATTAGTACAGGTGGTATGTAGAATATGTGTTAATTGGTAACAATTAAAACAATCGTGATGATGGCGGGACTTTCGCTTCTCTGAGCGCCTCAAATATTTTCAAGTGAATATCTGATTAGCGGCGCGTGTGCGGTAATTTCATTAGGTTTCACAGTTATTACAATTCTTACGTCTGCGTGTGATTGCATGGCTGCGGCTGCGCCGGTCACGTGACAGCTTTATGGCTTCAGGCTGCAGAATAGCGCATGTGGAATTTTTGTTAAATATTTCAATTTTCTAATTATAAGTGTCTAACAAACAGCGAGCGCGAGTGTAATGTGAGATGAGGTGATGCTTACGCAGCGGGTTAAATGTAGTTAATATCCACGTTACTACATTTCACACTTATTTTCCCGCTGTTGGTCAAGGCAATTCAATTTTTATCAGAATAGCGACGCATGAAGGTATTACCCTGAATTTCAGCTGAATTGATAAAATCCATTGAAACCCTACAAACAACTAATACCCACATACCTACCAAGTTACTACAATTGTTTACTACTAATAATACTAATTGAGCTTAAATTAACCCTCATATGTTTCCGTGCCCTTGCAGGCCAACACAAATGTATACCTAACATTTGGAAACAAAGAATTTCAGTTTATTTCCGCTGTCGCTGAAGCAGAACTAAACCACTGCTAGAAAAACAGCGTAAATTGTTCGTCTGTAACCATAATTTAATGTGAAAATGATTGCAAATACATAGTTCAGTGTTCTGAAACGTCACAGCTGTTTTGATACTCGCTTCAACGTGAATAGTAATGGAAAGCAAACAATGACTGTGCCACCTTTCAGCCATCTAAGTACACTTGATGTGGACAAACAAAATTGGAATCCGTTTTTGTGTGACGGTATTTCTATTAGTTTGCTAATTTTCTTAAGAATAAATGTTTGATGAAATACAGGGAATACAGTTTTGTTAAGTCAGTACATAAACTTAGATTTGACAATGTTTTGATATCTAGGGAGAAAACAATTTTGAGTCTACGTTACCGATGAACTGTGTTGATTGGTATGTGTAAGTTATTAACCCGTATCATCCCAGTGATCCATTTATGGATCGGTTAATTAAATATTTTTTAATTAAAGTTGCATTAACGCAGCCATTGTTTTTTCTTTATATTGGCAGCACTGACAGTTCTACCGCTCTAATCAATCCGTCAAATTTTTGTTCACGCGCGCAAATAATGCATTTTTATGAGCTTAGTTTTTTTGTTTTTCGTGAAAAAATGTCTCATCGACAAATGTAAGTATTTTATAATTTCTAATATGTTGACAGCTTTTGTTTAATCGAGTTTTTATCAAATATAGGTTCAGATACCATATAATAATGCAGTGAAATATAAACATAGGGTATTCGCATATAATTTTTACATTTTACTATACCGATCCATTTTTGGATCAGTAGGATAATATGGAGATGGGACATTCTATAAACTTATGTAATTGTTAGTAATAATTTTTCATTTATTTTGTTGTAGATTGTCGGTAAATGAGATCGTATCATATCTAGAGAAAGTCGATGATGTGTTGTCAGCGAATGTTTACATAACACCCCCAGATAATTACGACAAGAGCGATGAAGATAGCGGCGATGAGGAGTCTTCAAATATAAATCATCTATCTAGACATAAACTTTTAGCACAGGCTGAATTTAGAGCTATTGTGTCATCCCAAAACGATTTAGATGCCATAGAAGTCGTTCCGAATGAGCCATTATAAGATACACCACTACACAACGACCTCCACCGAAAAAGAAATGTCCTGCTTCCCGAAAATGGAGGAAAACAGATGTCCCTGAAAAGGCAAAGTGTCAGGTGGCTCTGACTTTTAGAACATCTTGATAGTCCGGTACAATTTTTTGATCATCTTTTTTGACGCGGAAGTGTTTGAACTGATTCGCTCTGAAACTGAAAATAATGCAATTCAAAAAGGGTATCATCGTTTCAAAGTTACAACTGAAGAAATAAAGCGTTTTATTGGGATTCTTCTGCTGTCGGGATACAATAGTGTTGCAAGATATCGCATGTACCTACTGGGAGCAAAGTGTCGATTGCAATTTTCAAGGTGTGGCAGCTGCTATGCCTAGAAAGAGATTTGAAGAACTGCTGCGATTCTTTCACGTTGCTGATAACACTAACTTGGCCCCACAGGATAAGTTCGCAAAAGTTCGTCCTTTATGGAATTTACTCAACAAATAGATGGCTAAAATATTACCCTGGTGATAGAAATCTAAGTATTGATGAGTCGATGATTCTATATTTTGGAAAACATGGAACAAAACAACATGTTCATGGAAACCCCATTAGATTCGGTTATAAGAACTGGTCTCTTTGTACTCGTCTTGGATACTTGATTTATCAAGGAAATACCCACCCAGAACTCGGTGTAGGTGCTTCTGTAGTTTTAGATCTCATATCTAAATTGCCACCTGTAACTTACAGCTTTTACATGGACAATTACTTTACGTCTTTACCATTGCTGGATAAAATGAAGGCATTAGGACACGATGCGACAGGAACCATAAGTGTTCTTCTGCTTTTCACTCAAAATAATGTATAAAAATATATTATTTTGATATGTATCTTACTTATAATATTATTATGTAATTTTATTGTTTAATAAAAATATACGATTATAATAATACGATTTTTTATAAAAACCTTGTATTATTTACAATCATCTTCCTAACTAATGCAAAATTAATACAGTGGCATATCTTCCTACTGTTCCATTTTTGGATAGGTACTGAAACTGAAAGACAGAAAGCTGATTATTTTTTTCTTATACATATTTGTTCAGTAGGTTACTAACATGTAGTACCTACTATGAATTTCGTTAAAATCGAATCAGCTTTTAGGTGCTTGGGAAGATACGGGTTAATAGGAGACTGTTTATTTCTGATTATATTGAGCATTAAATAACATAATTTTATTTAACAAAATTCATTTTGTTACAGAAATAATGATCTTTGCGTAATCTTCAATTTACCAGAAAGTGGATAACAAGAGCAAAACGATGGTGTCTAAAGGAGCATCAGCTAAAGTAGGTCATTTTCACAAGTTTTTGTATTAACTAGTAGTGTGTGTTTTATTTAAAAGTTCACCTATGTAATCAGCCTAGGCGCAGACCACCGACTTTTAGTTGGCCGATAGTTGGGTCGGGCTGTTCATCAGATGGAGATGTATTAAAGTGCGCACGTTACACCGATTTGGTATCGGCCGATTCTTCATACAAATTAAAATTGGGCCCAACTATCGGACAACTTAAAGTCGATGGTCTGCGCCTATGCTTATCATTCTGTTTTTTTTTTAAATATTTATTGTTCGATATTTATGTATTGTTTTATGAATGGGACCTCTCTTCTTTAATATTTTTAATTTTCTATTTAATTTAATGGGCGTAATTTATCAGCAAGATGCTATTTCCAACTATCGTGGACACACGCCTCCGCACGTCAGTGGCACGCCTCTCAAATTCAGGCGAAAATTACGCTCGTTTTCCTATCAGTCTGTTTGATCAGCAGGTTCATTAATAATACTCATTATTTCCTTTATTTCTATGTAAAAAGTTGGGTTTTTGGAATTTAATATTTGCAATCCCTGTTTACTATGATGTGACATGCTATGACGTTAACATTTATCATAACTAACAGATATTAGTTGAAAACAATATTTTTAATTATTATTTATAACTTTTTGATTATATTAATATCGTGGGTTGTACTAATCACGAAAATCTCTTCCAGATGGCACACGAGCCGGAGAGCTCGGAGGGCCAGTTTAACCTGGAGGGCATCCTCAGCGAGCTGGGCAGCTTCGGCAAGTACCAGCTGCTGCTGCTGCTGCTGCTGGCCTTCCGCGACTCCTTCCTCGCCATGTGCAACTACAACTACGTCTTCACTGCGGCTGAGGTTCCGCTCAGGTGACTTATAATATTCCGCTCAGATGGTTTATAACTCTAGCTTTTGCCCAAAGATTTACAAATAGAAATATTATCGTTATCAATTAGCCTCTACACGTTATTCTGATGTATGAACAATAATATTGTAAAGTTTCACCAAAACCCCTTCAGTAGTTTTTCCATCAATCCTCAGAAACTTTTGCATTTAAAATATTAAGGCTGGGTTGCACCATCTTACTTTAACTTTGACAAACGTCAAAAATCTGTCAAACTCCATACAAAAAACACCGGTTATCATTAAAGTTACGACCGAAGTTAGGTGGTGCACCTCAGCCTTAGTAAAGAAGGCGGAAAACATAGCACTGCATCTCTTAGAGTTTCTTTCGCTGATAATTTAATGCAAAGTTCGTTATTCAGTTTTGTTAATGATGAATTTAATGTTGGAACAAAAAGACAGCTCCAGTATACACAGATGTTCATCATACGTAAAACTCTGAGACTGGAGTTTGAGATGCAGCTTATAAAGTAACGTTGCAAATTATTTCGTAATGCCTTGATCATTAGGTAAATAGTTGATCCGTTCGGTTTCGGTTGATATAGCTATTTGGAAGTGCACGCAGCCCGAGAGCTGCGCCCACGCGGCGCGTGTGCACACAGGTGCGGTGCAGCACGTTGCTTGTCAAGCAATAATCCATAAATACACACATTTATACAATTTCGTTAATTAAGAGTCTGAAATTGACAAGAACGAAAAAAACGTTTTTATTTAGGAAGAGTAGAGTTTAAAGTTTTCATTGGTGCTTCAAATATTTTGTAACTCGACTCCACCACGGGGTAAAATTCAAATTTTCCAACTAAATGAAAAGTCTAAGTTGATTAGAGATGGATCTCAGATCTTTTCGTCGCTTGCCTCTCTAACTGACGTATCTGAAATTTTTTTNGCTGAAGCGGAACTAAACCACTGCTAGAAAAACAGCGTAAATAGTTCGTCTGTAACCATAATTTAATGTGAAAATGATTGCAAATACATAGTTCAGTGTTCTGAAACGTCACAGCTGTTTTGATACTCGCTTCAACGTGAATAGTAATGGAAAGCAAACAATGACTGTGCCACCTTTCAGCCATCTAAGTACACTTGATGTGGACAAACAAAATTGGAATCCGTTTATGTGTGACGGTATTTCTATTAGTTTGCTAATTTTCTTGAGAATTAATTTTTGGTGATTTCACCAAAAAATAATTCTCATTCTCATTTAATTCCCTGTATTTACAGGGAATATAGTTTTCTTAAGTCAGTACATAAACTTAGATTTGACAATGTTTCGATGTCTAGGGAGAAAACAATTTTGAGTCTACGTTACCAATGAACTATGTCGATTTTGGTATGTGTAAGTTATTAACAGGCTGTTATTAATAGGCTGCTATTAATGGGGGACTGTTTAGTTTACATAACATAAATTGTATTTAACATAAATTAATTTTGTTACAGAAATAATGATCTTTGCGTAATCTTCAAAATACCAGAAAGTGGATAACAAGAGCAAAACGATGGTGTCTCAAGGAACATCAGCTAAAGTAGGTTATTTTCACAAGTTTTTGTATTAACTTGTAGTGTGTATTATATTTAAATTTTATTACCTATAAGTATGTAGGTATAAGTATAAGTATTTATCAGATGGAGATGTATCAAAGTGCGCAGATTACACCGATTTGGTATCGGCCGATTCTTCATACAAATGAAAATCGGGCCCAACTATCGGACAACTTAAAGTCGGTGGTCTGCGCCTATGCTTATCATTCTGTTTTTTTTTTAAATATTTATTGTTCGATATTTATGTATTGTTTTATGAATGGGAACTCTCTTCTTTAATATTTTTAATTTCCTATTTAATTTAATGGGCGTAATTTATCAGCAAGATGCTATTTCCAACTATCGTGGACACACGCCTCCGCGCGTCAGTGGTACGCCGCTCAAATTCAGGCGAAAATTACGCTCGTTTTCCTATCAGTCTGTTTGATCAGCAGTTTCAATAATAATACTTACTTATTATTTTCTTTATTTCTATGTAAAAAGTTGGGTTTTTGGAATTTAATATTTGCAATCCCTGTTTACTATGATGTGACAAGCTATGACGTTAACATTTATCATAAGTAACAGATATTAGTTGAAAACAATATTTTTAATTATTTTTTTATAACTTTTAAGATATTTTATATTAAGATAACCAACCAAAATTGCGAATTCAAAAAAACAATTCACGGTCTTTACGTTTTAAAAACAATGTTTCAATACTTATTTAACATTATTGCATTGGCTCCAACTGACGGTATACCGACGTCAATTGAGCCAATACATTTGACTACAACAGTCATTGCACTCAACATTCAACGTGGCACCGTATGTATAATTATTTTCCACAAGCTTCCTTTTAAAATAAATAAGATAATCATTTATTGATTGCCTTTTCTTTGTAAGTACATTGATCGTCAAAAATTAATACATGCATATTAAAGTATCAACAGAATTTTCCATTTCGGACGTAGGTACATTAATATCGTGTATCATGAAAAGGCGTATCTAAAAAATGGCGATATTGAGTTAAACACACCATGTTATTAAAAAACTTGAATTTTATAACCTCACAAAAGATCGTAACTGAATTATTTTTCAGGAAGCCAGTATTGACAGGTAAAATGGGCCTGAAATGCATTTTTCCATACTTCAAATTATCTTTAAAGTTACGCCTTTTCGTGATTCGACCCACGATATGGTACTCATAAATGATTATTATTACATTAATTAGATTTAATTTCATTTACATGTCGATTTTACAGTAGTTTACTTGTCATTAAAAGTTTCATTACAAACACACTTTTGCTAAGAATATAACTCGAGGAATTCATTACCTACTCGTACGAGTACACCGCATGTCAAGTCAACTTATGCTGTTGTCTTAAATTAGGTGTTTCTACGGAAATGCTCAGAATGATTTTTTTACAAATAAACTTATTTCTACACATTAACACATCTTTATACCTATTTGGTTTAATGACTGAATTAAAATCCAATAAGTGATAAATTATTTTCGTTTTGCCATAAGATTTTTAAAAGGTTTTCTATAATTTATCGAAAAAAAAAATTGCATGTTACTTTATTTTAGCAGAATAGAGCACGCTTGGTGATTAAATAATCATTAATCTTTACGCATTTACCAAACTACCTACCTTTAACAGCCTATTCCTTGCAAATAAATTTCTTTGCCTTTGTCAGTCTTTGAGAAGCAATGCTAGTAGCCGTAACAGGCGGAGAGAGAAGAATAAAATCTTTGGACAATTTTACATATAGCTAGCCCCAAAGTAAGCTATTTATATGCTTGTGTTACAGGTGCTAGCTAACGAATATACTACACATATACTTTTTTTAAATACATACATAATAATAATAATATACATAGATCATAGAAATTAAAATTCATCATTTCAATTTCTGCCCGGCCGGGAGTCAAACCCGGGACCTCTCGGCTTAGTAGTTCGTTCTGAACCACTACGCCAAACGGCCGACAAATATCTGATTGAAAGCTCTGTTTCAGATGGCGCACGAGCCGGAGAGCACGGAGGGCCAGTTCAACCTGGAGGGCATCCTCAGCGAGCTGGGCAGCTTCGGCAAGTACCAGCTGCTGCTGCTGTTGCTGCTGGCCTTCCGCGACTCCTTCCTCGCCATGTGCAACTACAACTACGTCTTCACTGCGGCTGAGGTTCCGCTCAGGTGACTTATAATATTCCGCTCAGGTGGTTTATAATATTAGCTTTAGCCCAAGGATTTGCTCACATGGATTAATAATGTCGCTATCAATTAGCCTCTACAGACACGTTATTCTGATGTATGAATAATAAAGTTTCACCAAAATTCCTTCAGTAGTTTTTCCATCAGCTGCGCCATCTTACGTTAACTTTGACAAACGTCAAAAATCTGTCAAACTCCATACAAAAACATCGGTTAAAGTTACGATTGAAGTTAGGCAACTTAGCCTTAGTGAAGAAGGCGGAAAACAGCACTGCATCTCTAAGTTTCTTTCGCTGATAATTTAATGTAGAGTTCGTTATTCAATTTTGTTAATGATGAATTTAATGTTGGGACAAAAAGACAGCTCCAGTATACACAGATGTTCAGCATACGTAAAACTCTGAGACTGCAGTTTGAGATGCAGCTTATAAAGTAACGTAGCAAATGATTTCGTAATGGCTTGATCATTAGGTAAATAGTTGATCCGTTCGGTTTCGGTTGATATATCTATTTGGAAGTGCACGCAGCCCGAGAGCTGCGCCCACGCGGCGCGTGTGCACACAGGTGCGGTGCAGCACGTTGCCTGTCATGCAATAATCCATAAATACATACATTTATACAATTTCGTTAAATATGAGTCTGAAATTGACAAGAACGAAAAAAACGTTTTTATTTAGGAAGAGTAGAGTTTAAAGTTTTCATTGGTGCTTCAAATATTTTGTAACTCGACTCCACCACGGGGTAAAATTCAAATTTTCCAACTAAATGAAAAGTCTAAGTTGATTAGAGATGGATCTCAGATCTTTTCGTCGCTTGCCTCTCTAACTGACGTATCTGAAATTTTTTTCGAAACTGAGTTATCTACACCATCTTAATTAATTTCGCAAGACGAATCGATCTGTCTAATCACCTGAAAATTTTTCAAAATGTCAGTTACGTCAGTTAGAGAGGCAAGCGACGTTTTGTGGAAAAATATTGTCATTATATTAAATGGTGAACTTTGCGTTATGACATTCATTAATTGCTTTTAAATTCTCACTATATTTCTGAGAAAAGTCTGCAAAGAAAAGCTTGTAACGTTATGAATGCTAAACCTCGTGACTCTAATAATATTATCTATTAGGTATCAAGTTGTATTACTAAATTTAATCATACCATAACTTTGACACAATATCGTTAATATGATGTAATTCCCCATTTCTCGACGATGTAAGAAGTTGTCTCTGAGCTCAGTATGCTGACAATAGAGCCCACAGTTCAGACATAATTATCATTATCATAGTAATATAACCATACACGTGAACATTAATCTATCTAAATAATGTCAATAAATTATAGAAATGTCATTGCAACATTGATTGTCCATTGTAAAATATTTAAGGAAGAAATTGAAGTTGAGAACCAAGGTAGCAATACTTTGTCATGGATATCCCTGTAACAAAATGTTCATTAAGATTTATTGGTAGCTATTGTTTATGCGATACATGTAACTGTTTGATGTTTAATTATTATTATTTCTCTCTAGTTTTTATTATGATTATGATAGACATTTCAANGTAAGAAGTATGTCTCTGAGCTCAGTATGCTGACAATAGAGCCCATAGTTCAGACATAATATTATCATTATCATAGTAATATAATCATACACGTGAACATTAATCTAAATAATGTCAAGAAATTATCTAAATGTCGTTACAATATTGATTGTCTATTGTAAAATATTTAAGGAAGAAATTGAAGTTAAGAAGCAAGGTAGCAGTAATTTGTTATGGATATCCCTGTAACAATATGTTCATTAAGATTTATTGGTACCTAGCTATTGTTTATGCGGTACATGTAACTGTTTGATGTTTAATAATTATTATTTCTCTCTAGGTTTTATTATGATTATGATAGACATTTCAATATTGATAGCCAATTTATTATTAAGTGATATTTATGCAACGATTCTAATTAAATTAACCGTGCCGCGCTTTCTTTTCTTCCTTATTATTTAAACAGTGCCGACAATAGGTTCTATTTAATAATAATTTATGGAATAATGTGATAAACTTAGCATGTCGAATAATGTACCTATCAAGTGATTGAGTGGGTAATTTAATATGAGTTAAAGTTATGTTGAGTTTTTGCAAGTGGTTCCGGTTAACAACTGGTAGCTTAAATGAAATGACCCTGACATTAATCTTTCGAGGCTTTTCAGGTGCAATGTCCCCGAGTGCGAGTACCTGGACCGTCGGTTCAACGCGTCGTGGGCATCATTTACGCTGAACAGCAGCAACGCCTGCCAGCGGCGAGTCAGGCTCGACGGGCCTCTGTCCATCTTGGAGAACGACACGGCGGTCCTCAGACCTGACGATGGGGACTGCTCTCCCGAGCGATTCGCGGGCAACGACACCATGCAGTGTGAGCAGGTCGTCTACAAGAACAACGATAGCATAGTTGCTGAGGTAAGTTGTACCATTAGATTTAGTTACATAATGCATTAAATTATTTGTAGTAGCACTGTAATATCCAGAAAAATAACATTAACAGTAATTTATCTTGAAATTTGTACATTATTATGGGGTCGTTACTTAAAATAATAATAAAAACGGGAATGAGGAGTAGGTACTGTCCATCATCTGTCGCACGAGAGGTGGAAACAGTACCTTGCTGAAAACGAGATTTAAGTATTTCTAATAATCCCAATTTGTAATCCTACTAATATTATAAATGCGAAAGTTTGGATGTCTGGATGTCTGGATGTTTGTTACTCTTTCACTCAAAAACAACAGAAACGGATTTTGAGGAAACTTTACAGTATTATTATAACCCAGAATTACATAAAGCTATAATTTATGACGATCTGTGACCAACTAAATTTCACGCGGGTGAAGCCGCGGGCAAAAGCTAGTAGGTAATATTATTTTAAGCTATCTTATTCGTTCAAAAAAAAATCTTCATTGAAAATAGCAAAATTTCAGTCTGAAAAGTATCGAACCGGTTAAATACACCGTAGTAAAGTTCATTCACTGCAATGCACTAATCTGCATTGTATTCCAATGTCATGGCAACACGTGAGCCATCAGTGACAATGGCATGGTCACTGCCACGGCCGTTGGGACCGCTGATGAGGCCGCCGCGCCCGCCCGATGGGTAAATTACACTCGTTATGGTAACCAGGGCAAATGTACACATAGATTATACATTCAGTATAAAAGACTGTAAATATGTTGATGCTGTTGAATTTCTAGAACCAGTTGATTCTGAATATGTATTCACTATTTTCTAAGCCTTACTTACTATGTAACCAGTATCGAAATAAAGTTAACAATTCCTTAATTATTTTATCAATTGGGATTACTATAAACATTAGAAAGAAAGAAATAGACTTTATTAACACAGTAAGCACAAATTATACAATTACAATAACAACACAAAACGAATATAGTTAAATAGTAGGCCACTGTGTCAATAGGCTCCCAGGCTTAAGAAACTGGTCTTCCGCGAGAGCCCTTGTTGTGGCTTCGCGCATCCCTTCGGAGAGACATCGACTCGAGTTCGATATTTCTCAAAAGGGGTGAAACTAAGCGAGTACTTATTAAATTAAGAAATAATACTTTTCACACACGTACTCGTACTGCAGACTCACTGTTTAAATAAAATATTTGTATCATTTTTTGTACATAATCAATCAATCAATATTTTGAATTTCCAAAAAGAAACTCTCACACAATATATCCGGCTAGAGGAAAACTCAAAACGCAAAAATATGTACAATAATTTGTCGTAGAATAATTAATTAGTTAGCCTAGAATATGTAGGTACCTATGTATGTACCTAATAATTATTGCTTTGTTTTTTTGATTTTGAGTGGAAAATACACATAACACTTCTTACTAGTATTATGTAGTAGTATTTTATGAAATGAAACTACTTACATCTATGTATAAACAATTATTTTGAATTTTTGAAACGCGAATGAAAAAAAAAAAACGTGCGAGCGAGAGAGAGAGCGCGCACGCAGTGAGAAAGAGAGGCGTATACATCGTCGGGTATAAATACGGCGTGGCGCGCGCNGGGGTGAGCAAAGAAGGGACACCGGACATTACAACACGACGCATTTTTAAAACCTAAACAAAAGTAACAAGATAACAAAAAACAAAAAAAAAGAACAGTAACATAACACAGATTACAGCAAAACATTACAGCAAACAGATACAATTTATTAAAGATCTGGACTTAGGTTTTTCAGAAGAAGTTTACTCGTATGTAATATTAATTAAATGATCTCGTAGTATTGATCCTTCGTCGAACATACTTAACCGATTGAGTCCCAGACGGCATTAACTAATGTCATAACAATTATTGATTATCTATTGTGTCTAGATTCGCGGAGCTTGAAGGATTAATACTCGTATATTATTTCTACTCTAATATTCATCACCAATCAAAGCATGATAAAAACTTTGCACGTGTTGTCAAATAATAGTAAAATAATTAAGATACTAGTTTCATGACATGTGTTTACAGTAAAAAGCGCTGTAACGTAAATTATAGAGTATCCCAAGACACATTGAGATTCATCGCAAATAACAAACAGTGTTTAGCGATTCTTGTATCTGATGGCCTGTTATTAGAGAATATATCAACTCAATGTGACTTGCTGTAACTTATAGTATGTTTGATTTATTATAAATGGGACATTGTGTGTTTGTTCCGCTTCATGCACTCACAGAGTTAACTTCTATTATAATTTTCATATGATGGTCCTCACTGTCCTATGTTTTTCTTTGCATTATCATCATTATCTAGCTAGAAAACCACGACTGAAAATTTGCCTTCTCTATAAAATGTAACGGATGGGTGGACCGTAGCTTTAAGTTTTCAATAAGACGTATTAAATGACAAAACTCTCCGGATGGTTTCTAAATAGGTATATGACCTAGTCCAGTATCTACCCAGCAATGTTTTCTATGTATTTCTAATTTTAAAGTATCTTATTTTATGACTAGACCGCCCGCGACTCCGATTTACCCTTTAGGGGTGGAGTTTCATAAAATCCTTTCTTAGCGTATGCCTACGTCATAACATCTACCTGCATGTCAAATTTCAGCCCGATCCGTCTAGTGGTTTGGGCTGTGCGTTGATAAAAGTCAAAGTCAAAGTCAAAGTATTTATTTGCAAAGAATAGGTACAATGATAGATTACTTTGTCAGTCAGTCAGTCAGTCACCTTTGAGTTATACAGTGGGGTAGTAGTACGGGTCGGACACTGGTGACCGGACACACTGTATACAATATGTAACGGAAACACCGTCCGATCCATTAAGGTGTTAATAGGTATCGAGTTAAGATTCCATTTGTGTAATAATTTTCGTAAAATATTATTTAAAAAATACCCCATTAAAAATAAATACAAAATTTACAAAAATAAAAAAGCTTACATGGCAATCCGAACGGCAGTGTAGAGGGTACGCGGGAGGGGTAGAGATGCGCCGGCACGCGTAGCGACGTCATAAGGTCATGACCCCCAGCGTCTTAAAGAAAGCCGCGCGGCGACAGAGTGTTAACGCTTTTTGAAAATTTCCCCGTTGTAGGGTAAATCATTGATAAACTTATTGACTTTAAAAATCGATAAAAAATTGTTTTTATTAATTACGTAATTTTGATACTAGTTTTGGTAATGTTGTTAAAGCTACTTTATGACCCTTTCGGATCGGACGGTGTTTTTGTTACATATTGTATATATGTATTTAGATTGATTTGACTTAAATATGTTTTTTTTTTCAGTTTGACCTCGGCTGTGATCCCTGGAAGAGGACGATGATCGGCACCGTCCACAATCTTGGTCTCGTCTTCTCTTTCTTGCTCTCGGGTTTTATTTCGGACAGGTATATACAAATAAGATTAAATTTAAAAGCTATGTTTTATCGTAAGTATTAAGTTAACTTAAAAACAATCGTCAACGAACATCTAAGGCTGAGTTGCACTACCTAACTTTGACCGTAATTATAACGATAACCGATGCTTTTTGTATGGAATTTGACAGATTTTTGACGTTTGTCAAAGTTAAAGTAAGATGGTGCAACCCAGCCTTAATCTTAAATTTGATCTTAAAACTAAACTGCTTCATCTGTAGCTTATCGTAAGTCCTTAAACATAACCCTTTTATCCGGTACAAATCGTTAAATTTACCATATCGTTGTAATTTGATAAAATCATTAATTGTAGTAATTTACATTTGATAGAGATAATTAAGAAATGGAACTTTAATTACTTTATTATTATCTATTTATAGATATGGTAGTGTATGACAACAATATAATATTCATATTAATTACCTAAACAATTTATATTATTCCCAGGCTCGATTCCATCAAAAAAACAAAACCTACTATTTATTGCTTGGACTAACAACTAATTTAGTTGATTAAAATCATCACCATCCATAACTTATGACTGTAAGAGAATCAAAACAAAATAGTTCTAATACAATAATAGAAAGGATTAAGGAGTCAGTACATTAATGGACTTTTACGATTTTTTTTGATTTACCTACTTACGAGACGTGCGTTCGAGAAGCATTTGCGAAAAATAATCTCAGATAGGTAATCTGTTATGCACAAATATTATTCCAGATTTCGTATTGGCTCACACGTTAGTAAAATAAGTTATACAATATACATGTATGAATGTTTCCGCGTAGGTACGGGCGCAAGGTGATAATCGTATGCACGCCGCTGGTGGTGGGCGCGGCGGGGCTGGTGAAGTCCTTCTCCGTCAACTACTGGATGCTGCTGGTCTTCGAGTTCCTGGAGACGGCCCTGGGCTACGGCAACGCCTCGCTAGTCTTGTGTAAGTCAACATTTTAATAACACTGTTCATCATCATCATAATTTCAGCCACAGGACGTCCACTGCTGAACATAGGCCTTCCCCAATGAATTCCACAATGGCCGGTTGGTAGCGCCCTGCATTCCGCTACCTTTATGAGGTCGTCGATCCACCTTGTGGGTGGACGTCCTACGATGCGCTTTCCGGTACGTGGCCTCCACTCCATAACCTTGCTACCCCATTGGCCGTCAGTTCTGCGTACTATACATATGCCTTGCCTAATAACACTGTTACTCATTAGGAAAAAAATGCCATAACTTACACTGTTACTCGTTGGGACATTAATTTATTTTTATTTTATTTTATTTATTAGGACAACCAACAAGACAAGCACGCATACATGGAAATGTATTGCTTTACACCTCTCTTAACTACGGGAACTATTGATATACACACTTCCGTTCTTAATAAAATAAGCCGATATTATCTTCATAATAATACCATGATTAAAACACATCGACCCCCTAGTTCGTTTGATAGATGTTTTTTTGATCATAACTATAGATATTGCTACCTGTCAAAAGGTGTTACGATAGAATCAGGTGACTGTAAATCAAGATCGATGGGGATTATAACTCAAATAAGCTTATGATGCTGGTATCTAATTTCCTTCGATTTGTCAGTTTTTTGCGCTAATTTAATTAACGAGGCGTAAACAAGATTCGTTGTCGTTAAGTCAGATAAAGCTTTGTTTACGCGTGATCGTGTTTTGTTTTGAATAACTTTTCTGAAATGTACTTTATGAATATTTGTGTTTCTGTATAAGGCAGCGCTCTTATATCTANGGGGCTATGGAATAATATTGTGGAAAGTATAAAAATGGGGTTTCGTAAAAAAATATATTAATAATAAGTCAAACAAATTTTATTTGTAATAACAATTACTATAAATAAGTCATAAAACGTCTTTAGAGTAGGAGGTACATAATAATTATACATTATACCAATGTTTCATTTCATATTATCACTCATTATAGATTAAATAATACAACAGCAAAATTTATGTGAAAATAATAAATACATTATTATAATAAAATATTACTGTCGCCCCTGTGAAGCCTCGTCGTTGGTGGATCAGATCCGTTCGCCATCAATCTGCGGCGGCAGCGCGGCGGGAATCTTCATCACCGCGTATGTACCACACTCCTCCCTGCGGAATAAAAAATAAATAATGTTATTATGTGTAGGTACCATATAACGTATTTTTTTTTTTTTTTTTGTTACTAGTACGCATAAGGTGCCCAGTAAGTTTTTTTTTTTCAGTTTGACCTCGGCTGTGATCCCTGGAAGAGGACGATGATCGGCACCGTCCACAATCTTGGTCTCGTCTTCTCTTTCTTGCTCTCGGGTTTTATTTCGGACAGGTAAATATATATGTTACGGTCAAAGTGATAAATGTGAAAATTATGAATAATCGCCGGTTATTATGAATAATTACTGCATGATTTGGTAAATGTGATTAATATGAGGTCATTTATGTATGTGTGTATAAAACTAAATAGGCGGCTTAGGGGTGGCCCAAGGGCCACCCCCGCCGCACCTTAACCTATTTTTCACTTTAAATCAAAACATTATGTTATAGGCATCATGGAAAAGTAATATTATGCAAGAAACATTCCAAACTCAGTATGCCAAATTATATTAATATATGATATCAAAACGTTCAAAAGTTTGGCTGTACACGAGCACGTACACAAGATGTTGTTCTCTTTTATGAAATTTGTTAGTAGGTACTAAGGTTGAATTATGAAATAATCACTGTTAAATGTGATTAATTTATCACTTTTACCGCGACTGTCGGTAATTATTCATAATAACCGGTTATTATTAATAATTTTCAATTTATCACATTAACCGTAACATATATACAAATAAGATTAAATTTAAAAGCTATGTTTTATCGTAAGTATTAAGTTAACTTAAAAACAATCGTCAACGAACATCTAAGGCTGAGTTGCACTACCTAACTTTGACCGTAATTATAACGATAACCGATGTTTTTTGTATGGAATTTGACAGATTTTTGACGTTTGTCAAAGTTAAAGTAAGATGGTGCAACCCAGCCTTAATCTTAAATTTGATCTTAAAACTAAACTGCTTCATCTGTAGCTTATCGTAAGTCCTTAAACATAACCCTTTTATCCGGTACAAATCGTTAAATTTACCATATCGTTGTAATTTGATAAAATCATTAATTGTAGTAATTTACATTTGATAGAGATAATTAAGAAATGGAAGTTTAATTACTTTATTATTATCTATTTATAGATATGGTAGTGTATGACAACAATATAATATTCATATTAATTACCTAAACAATTTATATTATTCCCAGGCTCGATTCCATCAAAAAAACAAAACCTACTATTTATTGCTTGGACTAACAACTAATTTAGTTGATTAAAATCATCACCATCCATAACTTATGACTGTAAGAGAATCAAAACAAAATAGTTCTAATACAATAATAGAAAGGATTAAGGAGTCAGTACATTAATGGACTTTTACGATTTTTTTTGATTTACCTACTTACGAGACGTGCGTTCGAGAAGCATTTGCGAAAAATAATCTCAGATACGTAGTAATCTGTTATGCACAAATATTATTCCAGATTTCGTATTGGCTCACACGTTAGTAAAATAAGTTATACAATATACATGTATGAATGTTTCCGCGTAGGTACGGGCGCAAGGTGATAATCGTGTGCACGCCGCTGGTGGTGGGCGCGGCGGGGCTGGTGAAGTCCTTTTCCGTCAACTACTGGATGCTGCTGGTCTTCGAGTTCCTGGAGACGGCCCTGGGCTACGGCAACGCCTCGCTAGTCTTGTGTAAGTCAACATTTTAATAACTCTGTTCATCATCATCATCATTTCAGCCATAGGACGTCCACAGGTGAACATAGGCCTCCCTCAATGATTTCCACAATGGCCGGTTGGTAGCGGCCTGCATCCAGCGCCTTCCCACTACCTTTATGAAGTCGTCGGTCCACCTTGTGGGTGGACGTCCTACGCTGCGCTTTCCGATACGTGGCCTCCACTCCAGAACCTTGCTGCCCCATTGGCCGTCAGTTCTGCGTACTTTATGCCTTGCCTAACAACACTGTTACTCATTAGGAAAAAAGTCCCATAAGTTAAACATCCTTGGACATTTACACTGCGCTTCTAGTCTCAAACTAAGCAAAGCTTGTACTATGGGTACTAGACAACGGATATAAACATACTTAAATACTTTTTTTTTGTAAATACATACTTATTTTATACATAGAAAACACCCAGTCCAATACAAACAGATATGTTCATGCACACAAATGTTTGTACTGTGCGGGAATCGAACCTGCTACCTCCGGAATAGTAGTCCGTTTCGAACCACTACACCAAACGGCCGACAGTTACACTGTTAGTCGTTGGGACATTAATTTATTTTTATTTTATTTTATTTATTAGGACAACCAACAAGACAAACACGCATTACATGGAAATGTATTGCTTTACACCTCTCTTAACTACGGGAACTATTGATAAAAACACTTCCGTTCTTAATAAAATAAGCCGATATTATCTTCATAATAATACCATGATTAAAACACATCGACCCCCTAGTTCGTTTGATAGATGTTTTTTTGATCATAACTATAGATATTGCTACCTGTCAAAAGGTGTTACGATAGAATCAGGTGACTGTAAATCAAGATCGATGGGGATTATAACTCAAATAAGCTTATGATGCTGGTATCTAATTTCCTTCGATTTGTCAGATTTTTTGCGCTAATTTAATTAACGAGGCGTAAACAAGATTCGTTGTCGTTAAGTCAGATAAAGCTTTGTTTACGCGTGATCGTGTTTTGTTTTGAATAACTTTTTTTAAATGTACAGTCACGGAATGAAAAGGTTCGTCAGTTTTCAAATTGATTCCTTCAACGAATCGCGAGCACATATTACCTTTTGAAACTATGTTACAGAATAATCTCGAGTTAGAGAAAATAATCTTTAACTGTTCGTAAGTAAAGTTCAAAATTATTCAGATCAAAGTTGTTTGACGATTTATCTTGTCAAGAAGATTGTCATGATTGATTGAAACCTTCTTGTTGGTTCAACCTGCCATTATTATTTATCTATATATATAAAAATGAAACCCGTTTCGCGTTGTCACGGCATCACGTGTGAACGGCTGAACCGATTTCGATAATTCTTTTTTTTAAATGTTTGTGGAAGTCCAAGGATGGTTCTTACGGAAAAAAATATTAAGAAAATCTCTACGCTAAGGCGGTACGAAGTTCGCCGGGTCAGCTAGTATTAAATAAAAAAAAACTATTGTCAATTGGTCAATGTCATCACTGCATTACACTGATGGGATAGAAAAATAAACAAGCAAAACCTTATTGGTTAGCAAACGTCATATTTATTTAAATGTTAGCAGTACTGTTTCTTGCACTGTTATGTTGGCAGGTTTGACTCTTACAGTACCTAGTGCAAGCGAAAACCGACACTAAGGTGACGAACCTTTTCATTCCGCGACTGTACTTAATGAATATTTGTGTTTCTGTATAAGGCAGCGCTCTTATATTCTAGTAGTAAAATAGCCAGGAAAATATCACTAAGAAAAGGACAACTCAAAACACTGTAAAATATTTCAGATTGACTATTGTAAACTCATCAATATTGGCAATTTTGCTACAAAAAATATTCATCACAAACATAATCACGAGACAAAATGAAATGAACTGAACTGTTTACAGAATCATTCAATAATGTGTTGGTTAGGACTGTTGTAAAAGTTGAAGATGTAAATTTCATTACAGACAGTCATAGCTGAGATCACGATAAGCTGAAATGATAGTGGTAAAAACTGCACAAATATTTTTATACTTAGGCCTTGCTTTCCTCCACAGCCTTAGAGAGCGTCAGTCAAAAGCGGCGGGTGGTGTTCTCGTGCATATCTGATATCCTGGCGAGCTTCGGCAGCGCGTTCTTCGGCCTCATCGCCTGGAAGGTGCCGTACTGGAGGCACATGATGAGGGCCATCTACGCCCCCCTACTAGTAGTGGTCTTCTACATCTTCTTAGTAGACGAAGGCGTGAGGTGGCTACTAGCACACAACAAGAACGACGAAGCCGTCAGAGTCCTCAATAAAGTCGCCAAGATTAATAAAATTACGTTATCAAAGAAAGCTAAAGAGATGATGACTAAGATCAGTGATGAGACAAATAAATCCGATCAGGTAAAATATTTTTTGTTATAACTATAATTTTATTTTGAAATAACTAATGACACAATCACAAAAATTAAAATTTCACAAAATGATCACACAGCGCTTTAAGCGTTGAATATCAGAACTCAATGGCCACTAAGGGATCAATGAGCAGAAATTATATCTTCGGAGCTGTCATAAGCAATCTAATCTTAATACCTTGTTTATGATTAAACAATGATCTGAGATTTATCAAATTGTTAATACTGGGTTTATGTTGGATCTTCTCTATGTTGAATTTATACACATGCTCGTATTAATGTAGGATTTGAATACTTTCGTTAAACATATTTACATAATTAAGTAGTACCTACTTAAAAAGGTAATTATGATTACCACATTGATAACTACTGAACTCAATAAGATAATAGGTACACACGCGCAGCAAAGGGCATCGATTATAACGAAGACCTCAAAGATTTATCATCATCAAGCCCAAAAATATTCACATAAGTATAATCTTGATAGGAATTATTTTAAAGTTAGAAAACAACTATTTCAAACTTCAAACAACAACAAAAACCTTCAATAATATAATTCTCATTGAATTACTTAAACCCCGTAATCTTTCAAGGAAAAACAAGGTCCTGTCCAATCCACGCACCTTCTCTCCGCTCTGCGCTCGAAGAAGATCCTGGCGCGAGTGGCGCTGATCGCGGCGTCCTTCTTCTGCTGCATGTTCGTGAACTACGGCACCATCATCAACTCCATCAGCGTGTCGGGCAACAAGTACCTGAACTTCTCTGCGCTGCTGCTGGTGGCCATTCCCACGCGCATCATCACAGCTATCACGCTCACGCGCTTCGGCAGGAAGGCGCCGATTTGTGTCGCCTACCTGCTCTGTTCGTTCTTCTTCATCACATCGGCGTTTGTTCCTAAATGTAAGTTACATTTATACACTGGATCACAAAGAAAAAGGGCTGGTTGGAATATTTTTAACTAGCTTTCCGCCCGCGGCTTTGCCCGCGTGGAATTTTGTCTGTCATAGAAAAACAATATCACGCGCGTATTTGCTCACCGTTTAGACCTACCCTGGACTACGACAAACCTTTTAAAACCAAAATCAGCTCAATCGGCCCAGCCGTTCTCGAGTTTTAATCAGACTAACGAACATCAATTCATTTTTATTTATATAGATATCTTCAAAAGTATCTGACCCTTTTTCTTTGCGGTCCAGTAGAATAGATTAGGGAAAGGGCCCTTCTGCTAACAAGATTCACTAAGCTGTAAATGTCTAGGAACGTAATTATCATGTTTCAAAATTGTAATTTAGAAACAAAGAAAATTATCCACAAGTGAAAATGGTTTGCTTACTGCAATCATATAACAAATATTTTAAGCAGGTAAAGTACCTGTCCAAAATGACGCAAGGTTAAAATTAATATGATTTATTCTTAATTACTTGATTGTAAAAGCTTAAACATTAAATTCGATATTTATTTTCCTCATAATTTTATCAACTTTAGAGATTATCTTTTTTAGTGGTCCTATATCGACACTTTCATCACTATTATTGAATATTTTCTTGAATAGGTAAGCACATAGAACTTTCAAATTGTCAGGAGTAGATGACGGACTTTATTGAATGAGATCGATATTCAGTGCAGTTGCATCCTCGACGATCACAGATAAACTGAACTAGGTAAATGGGTACATACTTCAACCATTTTTTGGCAGACAAATCATCTACCCTCTATCTGTCTTTTACAACTTTTGTCCATAGAATTTGTTCTGACACACAGCATTGCCCACAATCCGATCGCGTAGTTTTGATTTGATAGCAAACTTTTTTGCCTTGCTGCGACCCGTATCAAAGAATCTATCTATGGAAAGACTTTATGTTCTAATGAGGGCTATCGTTTTAGCGCTCATCAGTTAGCGCCACTTTAGAGTAAGGTCCTGTCACTTGCTCGTAGCGAAGACAGTGGCGCCAATTTGTGAGCGCTAAAGTGGTAGGAGGACTATCGCATTTGCACACATCAAGATGGCGCCACTGTAGGGTAAGGTCCTGTCAATCGCCAGGGGTGCCAACTGTTAAGTATAAAAACGATAGCCCTCATTGCTCTAAATCGGTATCTGCTGCAGCGATCTGGTGGGCGTCGACGCTGTTCTACGTGATCGGCAAGATGTGCAGCAGCTACGGGCTGTTCTCGCTGACGGTGGTGGCGCTGGAGGTGTTCCCCACGGCCTCGCGCAACACGCTCACCAACACCGCCAACACCATCGGCCGCCTCGGCGCCGTGCTGGCGCCGCAGGCTCCCTTGCTGGTAAGTCTGGTGGCGCCGTTCTGGCGCCTCATGGCACCAACGCTGCCATGTAGCGGCTCCAGATTCGGGATAAAAGACGCACAAGCACTATATGCCAAATGGCTACTTCTTCATCATCTTTCTCAACGTATTCCTTTTGTTTGATTCTACTTCGAAGCCATTGCCTTCTTGCAATGTTTTTGCATCCCTGAAGATGCAAATGATACAAGAAAATAATAAAGTACCTACATGAAGCGCAATAAGTATAATGATCACATTTGCTATGATCTCTTACTCATCCAGCTTTAACATTCTTCGGTAATACCGTAATACACCGATTAAAAATTTCCAAAAATGAATTAAGTTGACAAGCATTATCGAAAAGATCACAAATTAGCGATCATTACTACAATACATCAAGATCATGCCCGACTGTTCGATGAAGCATATTAAAAGAGATTAGTGTCCGATCACGAATCCGATTAAAAAGGGGGCGTTTGGAATGAAAACAAACATGTGAATCACAATCACATTATGTTCTTTTTTATTTTTTTTTGGAAGACCAACACTTTTCATATCTTTTCGATCTTAAGTTCTTTTTTAAAAGTAGGACCCAAAAAATTAAAAATGTTAGATCTAATTAAATACCATCAACATTTTCATGTTACCTAACAGATAATATCGGATCTTTCTAATAAGAAAGATAATTTCATGACTGAGCAGCAGAATACATCATCATATTTGAAACTCACGATATCATGTAATAATATTCCGTTTTCAGAATCAATACATGCATGGTCTTCCGAGCATCACCTTCGGCATCGTGGCCCTGGGGCCGGCGCTGCTGGCGTTGCTGCTGCCCGACACCGGGAACACTGCTCTCCCCGAGGACATCCGCGAGGCTGAGAAGCTCGGCGACCCCGACCAGGCCGACCACGAACACCAACCGCAGCCGGAGAGCGATCGAGAAAGACAGGGTCAGAAACAAAACGACGAGAAAAAGGACGTCGAAAGTGCGCGATGAAGAGAACGTGACTTCCAAGGGAGTCGTCTCGCGCCCAAAACAAAGACTTTCAAACCCGGGCCCACTTCAAGTGACAGACTTTATGAATGAGCTGCCATATGATGCTATGATTGATTAGTGATTTTAATTTTAAATAGAATCAGTCCAGTATTACGTTGATCAATACTGATTTGGTCAGCTTAGGCTGCATATAGACACAAGATTGTATAAATATAATATAAAATGATGTTGCTGCTATTTCCAAGACAAATAGGAACGGATTAATTGATTATGATATTTATTATTTTTGTATTTACCGTTTTTCCATGATGGTGTCATGGAAATCCTTTAGCTGCGTTTTCTCCACTACTCGTTTAATAAATATGGTAGTATAATAATATCTGTGTATCAGAAAAACATCTCAATAATCATCTTATTGTCACTGAACTTTGCCAATCCATATTTTGACTTTTAAGATAACATAATTAATACATTGATATTAACAATCACTGATCCTTGTTGTGGAAAGTTTGGCATTAACGAAGGTTATCTTTATCAGCGACAATGAGCAACCCTCTGGTTGCTTTATTTAATTACTTTGTTTTGAAGTTCTGGTTGATGACTGCGGATATAAATTGCGATAAAACGATTAAAATAATCCGAGACAATACGTGGCGCATAAAATGAGCCACGAAGAACACTTGGCAATCATGTCTCATTATGAAAAAGGGAGTAATTTTTCAGGTGAAAGCTTTCACATACTATAGCCTTTTTTACAAGGCAAACCCCGAAAAAGTGGAAGATAATTTGTTAAGGTTTGTTTATAGAAATGGGACAACGCAATGCCGATTTTCGATACTTATCATCATTAGTATACAATATTAATTTTATGCACTTACAAGGAATTTCAAATTACTAATAATTAAATATTTCCTATACTGAGGCAGTTACCATGCAGTGTCTGTGATTTAAGTATACAGTAATTTAAGGAGTACCTACTTAGAACAATTCACGGATTGACGGTGTAATAATAATATGCGTTATTTTAAGTGTGTTAGTTTGTATTTTCATGTCATTACAGCGTTTATATCCTAGTTTTAGTGGTTAAACTGCGATCTGACTACGAATCTAAAAATAATTTATTTTGCTGTACCCAAATACAATTTGATTTCATGGCTTGCCTTGTAATGTTATTTTATGTATATTTTTATCTAGATGTAAAATGTAAGCTGTAATAATTCGCCTCAATTAAAATATTTAAGGTTATAAAATAAACAAAATCTCCTTTTGATAACGTCTCATTTTATTTATAGACCGATTCAGCCTTCTTATCGACTAAGAATAAAATAATTATTTATTACATAAACTAAACATAAATAGTGCTAATATTTACAATTTAATTACCTACTATTTTATTTACATCTTAAAACATGTATACGAATTATTATTAACTATCTTAAATATCTTTTAGCAATCTGACAGCAGGTTTCTGCCGTATTTTCTAAAGCCAGTACCTCTAGTACGAAAAACTTTCGAGTTCGTTTCGTTTGCGTATTCAAAGTGTCATCGAAAAATTTTGTATGAAAAATTAAACAGCGCCCCCTAGGGCGGCTATAATATAGGGGGCGCTGTTTAATTTTTCATACAAAATTTTTCGATGACACTTTGAATACGCAACGAAACGAACTCGAAAGTTTTTCCTACTAGAGGTACTGGTCGTGCCTGGTCCGTGAGCACGTTTCGAGTGTGCGAGCGCGACAGCAACATAATTACGCGCGAGCGATAAGGATGGGTAGCTTGGGGTCATTGGACAAAATTCTACGAGCTCACGGACCAGGCTTTACAATGAAATCTTACTATCTCTTCAGTATCAGTAGCTGCATCATTTACATCCTAGTCGTGGTCAGTGTTTGNGGCATCTTGGTGCCGAGCGTCTCGGGTTGCGTCAGCACCAGCACGCCCGACAGCATTGCCATGGAGCCAAACATCATGGACGGGATGCCGTGCCAGTACTGCGTCTGGTAGGGAAACAATACTCCTTTAGTTACCCTTACGTGAAACAAGACTGGCCCCGAAAAAAAACATGTTTGGTGACCGACGATTCATCATCCTTTTAGAAGCTTTTGTAAAAAATTAATCTTATCTAACTACTTAGTACTTAAGCTTCTCATTTGTAACATCTACTAAATAACGTTGGTGAGTTCACGCGTACGATTACACTCTTGCGACGCGAAACAGATACTGTGAGGTAGGTACGAGTGCGATAAAAGTTTCACTCACGCATCACGCATAGGTTGCGTTTTTTGTCTATTGTCGCAGATTTTAATAACCCATCACAATACATGTTTTGATATCCGGTATAAAGAGGACTTTCTTAAAAGATCCTAAATAAAACATGATAAAAATAATTGTGAATCCTCACCAGTACAGGAGTGAGAGGGGCGGTGATGGAGCCGACCCTGCCGATCATGGAGGAGAAGGCGAGCAGGCTGTGGCGGTACTGCGTGGGGTACAGCTCCGACGTGAACAGGTACAGCGACGTGAACACGAGAGCGATGCCGAACTTGCCCAGCAGGAATATCACCAGCCTTAGGACGGTCATTTCTGAAAATACCAATATATTTAAATTCTTATCTTGTCATTCACGAAAACTTAAATAGCTCACTTATAAGCAAAGTCTTCCTTTTACTGATATCATAGTCGGATAAATGTCTAAAATAAATATATCATATTTTACTCACCAGATGGAATGAATGCAAAAGCAAAGTTGCATGCCGCGCTTAGGAAGAAACCACCACACAGAGTGGGTTTCCTTCCTATCCTGTCCAGCACGAGCACCGCGCTGTAGAAGCCAGGGATCTCAATGCCCACCGTCAGCATGTAGTTGAGGTGCATCTGGTCGGAGAGGCTGGTGGAGTTGATGGAGAGGCCGTAGTACACAAATGTGGTGGTGATCCACCAGATAGGAGTGGTCAGCACTCGCCGCAGAAGGATTTTGGACTTCATTATACTTTTCAACAAGGAGTCATTCTCCTATTAAAAAACGAATCAATTTGATTAAAAATTAATTATCAATTTCATAAAAACAAAACATTAGTTTTCATGGTTATATCTTTAATAATAAGTTTAATCACCTGAACAGAGCCTGTTGTTGGTGGTGGTGATGGTGGACTCATCAACGCGGCCATAGACTTTTCACTGATTTGTTTTCTGTTAACACGAGCTACTTTTTCAAGTACAACCCTGGCTTCTTCGAATTTCCCCTTGGACAGAAGCCACCTCACACTCTCAGGGAGGAGCCAGTAGTAAGACAACACGAGGAAAATAGGAATGTTGAGGACCATCAGCAGGTACCGCCAGTTGTCGATCCCCATAGCTGTCGCCCCGAGGATTACTTGACCCACAGCAAACATAGAGGTAGACGTGGCACTAGCCACCACGCGGTATTTAGGTCCTACCAACTCTGCGGCTGTAACAACAAAAATTTTGTAACATTTTCCAATAGTTTGAGAAAAATATAGTAGTAAAGTATAATTTGTGTGTAATCAAACGTGCGTAAGTATTTGAGTGCCTTTTTTAGAACACTATTAAAATTCTTGGCTTAGGTAAATACTTTACATAGCATTAGCTCCGGCTAATTTTAATTGATATCAGTTGCTAAGCTAAATGAGGCTTTGACGCTTGATAACGTTATTCACAAATCATTCAGACTATGTTGCTGGGTATGCTGATCTTGGGCAGTTGCAAATTAAAATAGGATGAGAAAATTTTGTGTCTCTTTAGAAAACTTGTTACCGAAAATATAGGCTGAGCTGAAAGTTCCAGCTCCTAATGTGGTTTGCACGATTTGCAGCACAAGGTACATGGGGTAGTTGACGGAGAAAGCGCGGATCAGGCCGAAGGTGGCCATGTTGAAGACGCTGATGATGAGCGCCACGCGGCGGCCGAAGCGGTCGGACACGTAGCCCGTGATGGGCAGCACCAGCAGCGTGCCCACGCTGTTCAGCGTGCCTGCCAGCGCGCGCATCCACTCTTGGCACGCCAGGTCAAACTGGAACGGACATATTTTTTTTTTAAATTCAAAGATTTATTTAATATGGCCTATACACATTTAAAAAGTTAATGACTCTCAAACTTACATGTTAAACCTGTAAAATACCAATTTCATGGCCTAGTACCTAACTAACGTAAAACTTACTTCATAGACGACAGATTCGGATCTCGCGTAGACGAAGCTATCGCAGCCGACAGTTCTGTCCTGGTCGAAGAGGTAGGCGGGACACACGTCGAGGGTCCCGTTGCCCACTGAAGGGAACCGCTCGCAGTTCTCGAAGCCGGAGGGGATAGTGTTGCTGGCGGGGATCGCGTCCAGGACCCATTCGGGACTGAACTTGTTCCGCTTGCTGTACTCCCCACATTCTGGGATACGACATCTACGAAACAAGTAGTAACATTAACAGAATTGTTGTGTTTCGGCAGTGGGAAGTAATATAGACAGTTTCGCTGTTGTTTAAGATTTGGATAAAACTGGCTCCCACCTTAATCATCACTTTGCATGCAGGCCAAGAGCTTCTCCGGGTTATAAAAAAAGTGTTTATTTAATTAGCAATTGCGATCGCAAGAAAATAATTGAAATAAGAGTTATATAAACTCGTAACTTATATAATTTCTTAGCCCACTCCACAAAAGTCACAAAAAATCGGTAGTTACAGTCAATATTTTTTGGATTCTGAAAAAACTTCTGTGCGGTTCATGTAAATTTTTCATGGACCCTTTTCAAATAAAGAATAGAATTTTGTAAATTAGTCTAGGCGTTTTCAAGTAGGTAATCAAGGAACACACTTAAAAAATATTTGGAAAAATCCGTACCTGTGAGGAATGGCAGCCGCGCCAAATATGAATTCGCTCATAAATGCCGACATGATCAATGGGATCGAAATGAGCAGCGTGTTGATGAGCTGGTACCGCCCGAACTGGCCGAGCTCGTTCACCAGCACATAGTCCAAGTCTATGGCCTTCTCAGTTGAGATTCCATTCGGCACGGCATGACCATTGGCACTGCTGTCTTTTCTGTCTTCAGTCATTTTGATGTTCAGACGGGAGTTTCAGGAGATCCGACTTCACTGGCCACGAAGCCCGATCAACTGCCGATTTAAAGAGGAATACCGAAATTAAGTAAACACACAATCAAAAAAATTAAATCACCTCGATAATACCACTAGATAGCCATTTGGATTATTGTTCCGGTAGCTATTCAAGCTTGACGTGATTGATCGAGAGTTGATAAGTAGGTATTTGGCGACAGTTCTTACAGCTTACAATGAATACGTCGCTTCTATTCTACGTTATGGAATAGTTTTTTGGGGCAACTCCACAAACATATTACCTACAAGTCTTTAGAGCCAAAAAAAAGTGTATGAGAGTCATAAAAACTCTAGAAAGAAAGGACAGCTNGGACAGCTGCCTACCACATTTTAAAGAACTAAAAATATTGACAGTACTATCCCTCTACATTTTTGAAACTGCAATGTTTGTTAAGAGAAATCCACACTTGTTTCCCACAATATCCTTTGGGCAATAAATTGAAAAAAAGTAGACGTCACGGTCTGGTGAAGGTCGCGGGAGGTGCCTGGATGCGAGCGGCGCAGGACCGGTCTTTGTGGAAATCCTTGGGGGAGGCCTTTGTCCAGCAGTGGACGTCTTTCGGCTGAAACGAACGAACGAAGACGTCACGGTCACATTTTAAGTGCACTTTTCTCAAAAACTGCTTTAAAACAAAAAAGCTTCATTAGTATGGCTCCAAAAATTTACAATAACACACATACACTAAAAGATACAAATATTCAAGTATTTCACAAGCAGATGCTATCCTTATTAATAAGCAAAGCCTATTCTAACTGACAAATTGTAAGATTCTTCACTTTTTTATGTTTATGTAATACTAGCTTTCCGCCCGCGGCTTCGCCCGCGTGGAATTTTGTCTGTCACAGAAAAACTTTATCGCGCGCGTCCCTGTTTCAAAAACCGGGATAAAAACTATCCTATGTTCTTTCCCGGGACTCAAACTATCTCTATGCCAAATTTCATCAAAATCGGTTGCGAGGTTTAAGCGGGAAAGCGTAACAGACAGACAGACAGACAGAGTTACTTTCGCATTTATAATATTAGTTGGGATGGGATGAAATGGTTACTGATTGGACATTACTAACTTACTTTTTATTTTATTCAGTTTCTACTAACCTAATACGACTCAATGATGTTATGTTGTGCCGACCTTGGGCCAGACATAAATGACATTTACAGGTGTTAAATATTAAGTAGTCGGTATCACTATACCGACTACTTAATATTTAACACCTGTAAATGTCATTTAGATAGGTTCCACGAATAAACGAATTTTGATTTTGTTTTTTTTTATTTTGGTAAAAATACTTCAGTAGAATGTTGAATTGATTAATTGGATAATAGGCTTGTTTATAATTGCATTAACGTGTGATAATATTATAAGTACATAAAGATACTATCTAAAATCTTAAACCACCTGTTGGGAAAACCCGAAGTTTTATAAAATAACCGCTAGGTACGGTGCTTGAGAATAAACAGAGAAACTTCATCTTGAAAGTGCGTCACAAAACAAAGGGCGTTCCTTTGTTTTGTGCGCGATGTATAAAATAATAAAATTTAGCCTAAATTATCTCTATTATTAAACTTTCCGATATAGTTTAACCTAATACGTTATACCTACTTTAGTTCTCGGCTTGCCAGTTATTATTATGGTTAAAATATGGTGATGCAACTCAGCCTTAGTGTCAATTTTAGCAAAATGTAAAACATCTGCCATGATATTAAAACGGACGCCAACCTACGAGTAAGTATGTACGAAATACAAAGCATTGATACAATACTATTATATTACATTACTAGCTTTCTGCCAGCGGCTTCGCCCGCGTGGAATTTTGTCTGTCACAGAAAAACTTTATCGCGGCGTCCCTATTTCAAAAACCGGGATTAAAACTATCCTATGTCCTTTCCCGGGACTCAAACTATCATCATCATCATCAACAGCCCTTTACAGTCCACTGCTGGACTATGAGCCTCCTCCACTATAGTGAAGGGTTTCTACCATCTACTATATCTATGCTAAATTTCATCAAAATCGGTTCAGTGGTTTAGGCGCGGTGAAAGCGAGACAGACAGACAGAGTTACTTTTGCATTTATAATATTAGTATAGATAGTATAGGTTTTCCTCTACTCCAATGTCGGTCTTGAAAAAACTTGGGCACGGTAAAAGATCCATTTGCTTATCTGATCTAAATAATAGAAGTTTCAGTTTTTCAGCAACAAAAGAAGTTACTTCAAATTAGGTCTTTCCAATAGCAAATCTTTTCAAAATAATGATACTAAACATAATAAGCCTTCAAGTTTTGAGACTGTTAACGCCATCTATTGACAGCGGCATGTTATTTGAAAATATACTATAGCTCATAATATTATTATATACTGTGACTATGGTCTATGATGGATGCAGGTAGAAAGTTAAATAAATGATATTTCATGGCCCATTGGGGTTGTAGATATTAAATGCAACGATGTCAAATGCCGTCTTTTATAGTGAGTGGTGCAATTTTTCTTTTTTGTGTTTAATTAAGCTTTCATAAGTAGGTGAATAATAAACAGTCAGTCTTGCTACGAAACTTTGTGGGCAGCGCAGGTATAGCCTTAAAGTTATATATTATAACCTTTTATTTATTTTTACATGTAAATGATTTTTTTTTATATTCCCTCTTAAGTAGCAGATAAGGCCAGGAATAAGTAGGCTTTACACAACGGATTACTTTAATCTCAAATATCTAATCGAAAATGAAAACCTTCGTAAACAGATTAAGTTGTTGCCAAGTTAGATCCATAAGTTACACATTTAGTACGTAGGTTTTTTGCTTGTTATGTTGTTTTCAGCATTAAAAATAGATGTTACATCCCATTGTGGAAAAACTGATAAACCTCATCATAGTTATGAAACTTAGGTTCAACATTGCTATGAAATCTACGATGGCGTTAAATATATTATTTACGATACGACACAGGTACGATAAATGTTATTTTTTTAATTTCAACGTTAGGTAAATTGTACCTACCATGCCGGGCCGGGCGGCTCGGCCGGCGACCAACCCGGCGGCCAGGACGGCACACTGGCAAGGCATTTTGAAAGCCGATGTGTGGACACACGCCACTAAAGATACAATTAATGGTCATTATTTCGCAGAACATAGCATGTGTAAAAAAGATACATTTTTTGTAAAAAAAATATAATTTATTTTGCTTACAAATACATTATTGTAAAAAGTTTATTCGTAGAGATATGAGTAAATACAATGAAAACGAAGTAGTATACATGAAAAAGATAAATAATTTATAATTTGTACACTGTGACATACAAAAGTATAACCTGTACATACAGTTAATATCATAATAACATCAGTTTTAGGCTGCAAAAGCTACTGTCTCTCATAGAATGCTGCAGTTCCCAAGTAATGCCTTAATTAATAGGTCCTTGCTATGAAATTAGCGTTTTGTATGGAGAATTGTACGAATTCAATTAAATCAGAACAGCTCTAATCTCGTCCCTAAACAAACAAACACTTTACGATTATCTAAGTACACCCCATTATTGTTAAAGGTGACCGATTTTCTCCCGCCACTTCGCTCAGTACCAGCCGATATGTTGTCCTGTACCTCTAGTAGGAAAAACTTTCGAGTTCGTTTCGTTGCGTATTCAAAGTGTCATCGAAAAATTTTGTATGAAAAATTAAACAGCGCCCCCTATATTATAGCCGCCCTAGGGGGCGCTGTTTAATTTTTCATACAAAATTTTTCGATGACACTTTGAATACGCAACGAAACGAACTCGAAAGTTTTTCGTACTAGAGGTACTGAAGTGGTGGCGATATGTTGTCCCTGAGAAGGGCCTCATCAGCATCATCATCATCTCAGCCATAGGACGTCCACTGCTGAACATAGGCCTCCCCCAATGCTTTTCATGCTGCCCGGTTGGTAGCGGCCTGCGTCAAGCACCTTCCTGCTACCTTTATGATGTCTGAGGCAGAATGAGAAGGACCTATATGCTAGTAAATTAATACGGGACTATTCCNTGAATGTGGTGTTACTCCAGATCTTCGATTTTCCTAGTTTTTATAGTTTTCCCTTTATGTAGTCATTAAACCCTAACTCTGTACCAAATTTCAACTCTCTGAGTTAATGGGAAGTACTAGTTCTATTTTGATGATCATCAGTGAGTGAGTGAGTGAGTGTCGTAAATGCGAAACTTTGCTTTCGCTTAACTTCGGAACTAAATGACCTACAAACTTGAAATTTTGGATTTTAAGTATGTGATTATAGCTTACTAGATGACAAAAATTTCTGCGTTCTGGTCTTATCCAGAGGTTCTCAAATAGAGGTCTGAAAATGCGGCGAAATGGTTCCAGTAAAGATGGTACGGCAGTGTTTGCTTCGCGCTCGACTTGGCGGGGGCACTGCCGTGCCCCCAGATAGTAAGTAGCTAGTAAATTAATAATTAATTTGTGTCAGATCAGTTGGGCCCGGCGCGCGGGCGCCTGCCCAGCGCCTCGGCCTCGGCGAGCGTGTCGGGCATCTTGGTGCCGAGCGTCTCGGGCTGCGTCAGCACCAGCACGCCCGACAGCAGCCCCATGGAGCCGAACAGGATCGACGGCAGCCCTTGCCAGTACTCCGTCTGCAAACAGGGAGAATGATGGTATTATTAAACACTTCGTTCGTTCAGTGTTTACGAGTAAAATCTTGACTTGACGTGGTCTCTCCTATTACTTGCATTTTGATATAATTNTTTTGATATAATTTTGATCAACATCATGATTTTAACTAATTAAATTCCAACTTTCTCCCTTTATAATAGTGTTATTATTTAACCAACAAAGATCGGCCACCAACTTAATTTGTTTGTAAAATCAGTTATGTATCAGTCATACTTCTTTCTTATAATACTCACAGCGACATCTAGTAATTTACTATGAAACTAAGTCATGCAAATTATTCATTAAATCTATAATTATCACAATAAATCTAAATACATAATACTCGTACGAGTAGGTAGATGGCGCTTTTCAGTTTGAATTATTTTAATGATAATTATAGATAATTTTATTGATAATTTTACGGTTAAGTCAATAATCTTTTTTTTCGGTCATCTTTGTATGTTTTTGCAAAATTGCTGGTATAGCTCAACAAAGAATAACATGTTTTCAGTGTTTAGCTTAATATACCGTCGTTTGTAGGTCCTGGTTGCCTTATTCTGAATTTTCTAGTGCTGCGCACAAAATCCTGTTGAACAAAGGCTCAAGGATTTTCATTACGATCATCCTTATGCTGCTCGCATCTTGGTAATTCCCGCGACTTTCACCAGACCGTTAGTCCAACTAATGTGGGGTCCACCAAGGAGTAGTAGTATAGAACATCAAACAAAATATGAGCTGGAATATGCTACGTTTAATTAAGAGCATATTCTTACTCCATACAACGGGACTATTCCCACCTCTCGTTCCCACCACTGCAACTCCTGTGTAGCCAGGATCTACAGCTTGACCGCCATAAAAACCCAACCAATGAAGGTCAAGTTTGTCAACTTCATACAAGTCTGATACTCACCAGCACGGGAGTGAGAGGGGCGGTGATGGAGCCGACCCTGCCGATCATGGAGGAGAAGGCGAGCAGGCTGTGGCGGTACTGCGTGGGGTACAGCTCCGACGTAAACAGGTACAGAGACGTGAACACCACCGAGATTCCGAACTTGCCCAGCAAGAATATAATCAGCCGAAGCACGGTCAGGTCTGGAATCCAAAACAAATACATGTACATGGTAAAAATTTCAGAGAATGCCCGTTAACGGCATTAAAGCTTAATTAAATAAAATTTACTGAAAGCATAAATTTTGATGGTTGACTAGTCGATTTAAACTGGGCTATTAGGGCCAAAATTACTTGTTGTATCGGTGAAAAATAATGATTAAGAGACCACACAGTGAACCATATTATAATTTTTAATCTGAGTTAAGATAATGTATGCATGCTTATTAAAAACAAATTCAAAACAATACTTCGTCAATCGAGCATATCGAAGGCTCGATTAACATCTAATCTGGTGAGTAGATACTCATAATCTAATCGTATGGTTATTAGTATGAATAGATAATACTTTTATTATTCTATTGTGCTTTAAGGTTTTGTATAGTCGAATTGCTGTGAGAACTGCTGTCTTTATGGGCCTCTAGATAGTATCCGTCGATATAACTTTTTTGTTGCAAAATTGCCTCTAATCTACCTATTCATAATCTTTTAGTATTAGTAGATAACACTTTTATTATTTATCTGCTATTGCGAATTACTGTGCGGTCTAAATAAAACATGAAGAACCTAATTTACATCGCTTTTGTCGATAGCAATTTTTTGTTGCAAAAAGCACCGAAGTGTGACCACTGCTATGATGCCAGCCAGAGTGATGCTTTTGTTGGTGTTACTCTTAATATCCTTTCACTTTCATCAACCTTTTATAATATAACTAAAAATATGACAGAGATACGGACAGAGCCACAAAAAATGATATAGCTTACCAGAGGGAATAAATGCGAAAGCTAAGTTGCAAGCTGCGCTCAAGAGATATCCCCCAGAGAGAGTAGTCTTCCTTCCAATCCAGTTCAAGAGGAAAACAGCAAGAAAGTACCCAGGGATCTCAATGGCACAAGTGAGGATGTAGTTCAGGTACATGGTGTCGGACAGGCTGGTGGAGTTGATGGACAGGCCGTAGTAGACGAAGGTGGTGGTGATCCACCAAATGGGAGTCGTGAGCACTCGTCGCAAAAGAACTGGAGATTTGACAATTGTAGCGATCATGCCTGGCTCATCCTTTAAAGGCAAAAAAATACTTAAGAATCATCTATTTTAGGTTGTATTGAATACGAGTATATTAATTTGTTGTTTATTAGTGCCAATGAATTAACAACATACCTTTTTCTCAACAATGACTGGAGGTTGCGGAGGGTTTAACAGCGCATGCAATGACTTTTCACTAATTTGAGTCCCATTGACTCGAGCCACCTTTTCCAAAACAACTTTAGCTTCATTATACTTCTGTTTAGACAACAGCCACCTTACGCTCTCAGATAGTATCCAGTAGTAGGAAACGATCAGGAAGCAAGGGATGTGGAGTGCCATGATCATGTATCTCCAGGGCTGGATCACCCAAGCCACACTCCCAAGGATCATTTGGCCCACGGCGAACATAGAAGAGCAAGAGGCACTCGTGACGACACGGAACTTAGGACCAACAAACTCCGTAGCTAAAATTAAAAAAAATAATTGTAAATGATTAGATATCTTTAACAGTTAATTCGTATAACAGCTTTATGTTGGGCATCCTTACCAAAGATATACGCAGAACTGAAGGTGCCAGCTCCAAGAGTGGTTTGGAGGATTTGCAAGGCCAGGTACATGGGGTAGTTGACGGAGAAGGCGCGGATGAGGCCGATGAGCCCGAGGTTGAAGACGCTGATGACGAGCGCCACGCGGCGGCCGAAGCGGTCGGACACGTAGCCCGTGATGGGCAGCACCAGCAGCGTTCCCACGCTGTTCAGCGTGCCTGCTAGCGCGCGCATCCACTCCTGGCACCCGAGGTCGAACTGGAAAAACATCCACCTAGTATTCACAATGTTCTTTGATGGAGATCATATTTTCACATCTAAATATTTTCATCAAATTCCTATTATGATTTTCGCAACGGTATGAGAACTCACATCGTAGACGACGGAATTGTCCCTCCCGTAGACGAAGCCGTCGCACGGGATCTGCTGGTCCTGGTAGAAGAGCGCGGCGGGGCAGGAGGCCAGCGAGCCGTTGGGGCCGCGCGGGGCGAAGCGCTCGCAGCTGGAGCCCGCCGGGATGGCCTCGCCCGTCCACGCGGGGTTGAAGTAGTGGTCTTTATGAGACTCCCCACATTCTGGGATCTGACACCTGGAATTTAAATTATATGTAACTCACTTTCTTAAGGTGGCTATCAGAACAATAAATAAAGAACTGTTGTTTAAATTAATTAAATTATAGTTTATATTATAAAATAAAAATTGGTCAACAAAAATGGTTCGTTTATGGTAAATCTAGAATAATTCAAGATAATGTGTTACGTAATTACCTATTATAATTTCACATAAGTTCACAGAAGTATCAATTAACCCTTGTAGCTAGTGTTGTCTTGAAAAGTTGCAATATTTGAAATTACCTGTGTGGAATAGCTGCAGCCGAGAAAATATATTCACTCATGAATGCAGACATAATCATGGGGATGGACACGAGCAGGAGGTTGAACAGCTGGAACTTCCCGAACTGGCCCAGCTCGTTCACGAGCACGTCGTCCAGCTCGATCGCCTTCTCCTGCAGCCCACTATTGGGCGCCTTGCTGGGCCTCTGGGGCCCAGCCACACTCCCTTTGCGACTATCCGACATCTTCAGATCACTTCAAATGTTTACCTCTTCAAAATTTCGGAAACACGCAGCCGTAAGCGTGAGTCCGTATTGAGTACATTGATTTGATTTTTCACTATAAATCCTAACGATCCATTATCTACAGACATTGATAAAGATAACAAAATGCATAATGATAAGTTATAATTTAATTTTATCTAGGTAAATACATTTTTTTTTATAAAAAAAAAAAGCATTTGTATTATAGACTAAGAGCTAGTGAACGCCAGACCTACGTCTTTTTATAGAAGCTGAAAGTTTGTCAGCGTGGCTTTTTCAGCTGCCTTAATTATAAATACGAGTATACTCCTGTCTGCGTCTGGCAATGAGTTGGAACTGTCAAAACTGTCTGATTAATGAGGAAAATACTTCTGATGATTGCTCAAATATTATGTATAAAAATCAGCTTTTATAGTATAACGTAACTCTAACTTTTCTGTATAGACTGTAATTCTACTCACGTCTATGTATTATATTTGGGCAATGATTAGATTAGAGAGAGATTAGAAGTTGTTTCCACATCAGCCAGATAGTTTTGACAGTTCCATCTCCTTGCCAGACAATTTTTTTAGGGTAGCCAAAGCCACGATGACCCAAATTTCATGATTCACCAACATTCTAACCTATCTTGGGAGCACGCTGACAAACTTTCAGCTTTTATAAATGATGTAGGTTTGACGTTCACTAGCTCTTAGTCTATTAATGTTCGTGTCTTGCGTTGATTGTGGCTTTTTATTGTCTTTTGTGACAATTACAATTTTGTTATTATTTTCCAATCTTATTGATTGTTGACGTTCAATATGGTACTAATTAATTTTTAAACTTTAGATTTGCTAAATGATTAATTTTAACAGGTTTTAGGCGGTTAGGTTTAGGTATTAATGAATTATTATCTGTTAAAATTCATCACAATAATTATGGTTCTGTCGCAACCATCTGGGTTAATGAGCCAACTAATGAAGGTATAATTAATAACGGTGCCGTGGTGGCATCCAATTGAGTGCCTACGAACTTAGGTCGAATGTTAATTGAACTAGATAATTTAAAGTTTATTAACTTGTCGTATTGAAGTTCAGCTCTTTCAAGTTGACTGACTAAGACTCAGCCAAGTGATTGAAATTTAGTTGCCATTTAGATTATGGAACAATGAATATAGGACGCTAAGCACTGTACAACATGTAAAGTACCAACGCACGTAAAAATAAAAATGATTTGATTTGATTAAAGTACTAGATGTCCACATACAGTGAACACTCCCATTAGACCTCAGGTGGAGGGGAACTGTGGGTATAATTGAACTTACAACAATCAGCGTTTACAGGGTAAGTATTGCTGTTGTGTGCCATTCTCCCCAATCTAGTACATAAATAGTTCTTTCATCGAATATCACTGCAAAACCAATTCTATCAATTGTTTTTTTAAGTATAACAATTAATAAATTAACAAATTGAGTTATTGTAGGTTTTCAAATAATATTTAGATCATATCTAACTCCAATCACCCACATTGGAATAAGTAACTCGTTGATAATGAAATTGATTAATTGTACCGAAAAACTAATATTATCTTGGTATTTAACCTACCTACCAATGATAAAGTTAAATAATACCATTTTATCTACTAACATACAAGTAGTGGCATATTATGATGTTTAGATTAATCATTTCATTAGCAGAAAAAAATTGATAGATAATTTAAACGACCAATTCTTCTACTACAACTAGGTACCTACTTCGATTTTGCTTGGAGACGTTTGGCTGGAGCCAGAAAAACAATAGGTACTCAAATGGTACCGATTAAAGATTTCTAGGGACTATTCGACTTAATATGTTATTATTATCTTTAAAAATATATTTTATGTAATAAATGTGGTAACACGTGAAATTTGATTAGATATCGCGTTGATCTTTATTATCAAAAATAATTGCGTTGTAAGAATTTCCCAATGATAAGATGTTGCTCAAAGTGCCGACCTTGATATGTATTGGTCACTTTCAGTTCANGGTCGCGAGCAATTTGTTCCTAAAGGTAGTAATAGATGGAATTAGTAAATAGATAGTACTTTCCTTTCAGGTGGCATTACAAAATTCCACCATAAATACTTAGTTCCCCCATAATTTTGAGTTTATGTCATGGACGAATTCTTCGTGTTTACCATACGATCACATTTGTCACTAATACATAATATTAGTAGGATAGGATGTGCCTACTTTACCTCACCCTTCAACTCCCACTCCCTATTATATGTTTTAGTATAATTTTGATGTTTTCTTAAGAAAATAAGATTGTTTCCCCAAGTTTGGAGGAGGCCTATGTCACGCCTATGTTATAAACTGTTAGGATAATAGGTAGGTATAAAAAAACTTTATTTTGTACAAAAAATATAATTTATTAAATCTAGTTACATTTTACTATGCTTACAAATAGTATAATATGTAAAAACTTTATTATAAAAGAGAGCGATGCGTAAATACAATGAAAAATGACGTGTAGGTCGGAGTCACATTTACATGAAAAGCATAAATATTCTATCATTTGGAAGGCAGGTGGCACCTATTTGATAAAAACGTTTTTATTTACCTGCTTTGGTAGCCTGCTGCTGTAGCTTAAATTTACTTACATACAGTCAATATCTTAATAATATCTGATCAGGTTGCAAAANTTGCAAAAGGTGTCTCATAAAATTAGCTTTTGTAGCCCGCGTAGCGGGCGACCAAAGCTCTCATAAAATTAGTGTCAGTGCTGCAGTAAGTAAGGCCTTCATAATATTTATTTTATGTAAGGATCTGAAATCAGAACAGCTCTAATCTCAGCCCTAAACAAAATAAAACTGTAGGATCGTCTACACTCGCTTATTGTTAAAGGTGACCGAGTTTCTCCCGCCACTTCTCTCGACACCAGCCGATATGTTGTCCCAAAGTAGTGGCAGGGCAAGCTACGAGTATATTGGGACGCGTATGCCCTGAGAAGGGCCTATATGCTAATGAATAATGAATGTTCTCAGATCAGTTGGGCCCGTCGCGCGGGCGCCTGCCCAGCGCCTCGGCCTCGGCGAGCGTGTCGGGCATCTTGGTGCCGAGCGTCTCGGGCTGCGTCAGCACCAGCACGCCCGACAGCAGCCCCATGGAGCCGAACAGGATCGACGGCAACCCTTGCCAGTACTCCGTCTGCAAACAGGGAGATTATACGTGATAATCACTTACAGACTTAGAGGTCTTCTTCTGACTGATACCACTGATACCTCAAATGTGAATGAGTCCATTACAGTAGGGCATTTTTGTCTAGAGTATTTTAAGTTAATTACTTGAATTAAACTACGGAAAATACATAACAAGGTCAGAAGAACAGCAAGTACTCTTTCGATTCGAGAAGAGAATTCGTTTGTTAGTAGAATAGATCCAAAGAGAATTACTGGAAGATGCTAAGAATATGGTTACTTCTGGAATTTTAAAAAGTATGACACTCACAAGCACGGGAGTGAGAGGGGCGGTGATGGAGCCGATCCTGCCGATCATGGAGGAGAAGGCGAGCAGGCTGTGGCGGTACTGCGTGGGGTACAGCTCCGACGTGAACAGGTACAGAGACGTGAACACCAGCGAGATGCCAAACTTGCCCAGCAGGAAGACAATCAGCCGAAGTACGGTCAGATCTGGAATTCAAAACAAATGTTCTGGACTCTGGGAACATTTCTGAATCAGAACTTTTCTCCAGACCAACAACATGTAATCTGGCCCTTTAAATATTATATTATACATTGAATTGTCACGCACATTTCCCGATATGTCCACCTAGAAATTAGGTACCTTTGAAGAAGCAATGTAAATTTTACTCTTCATTTCAGAAGTAAGGTGTTTGTGTTTGGTTGTTGTTGTCTCCAGATACAGTATCAATAAAGTACTCAAAGATACGATTATCTTCTAAGCAATGACCCATTAATTTGTTATTAATCCATGTTTGATATCGTTTAGAGATTTCGCATGCATTGTTGTGTCGTAATTTTTTTTTAAATAAAAACTTCGTCAGTTTAGCCCATAATTAGTTATTTCATGCTGTGTTTTTATTTAAAGTAGAAGGCATAAGTACTAAACTTTTTAAAATAAATTTCCCGCTTTATCATTAATACAATTCCTAATCAGAATTATTAAGATTCCTATCAAAAACTAATTCAAGACAATACTTTAACCGATAGGCTCGATTGACGTCTGATCTAGAAGGTAGGTACTGTTAATCTAATCATCTAGTTATTAGTGCCATAAAGGTAAGTCAATGTTTTTTATTAGTAGAATTTATTGTTAGCCACTGTCGTTAGTATTTTCTGCCGTGAAATAGTATCTATGTAATTTTTTTTATTTTCAATAATATTTTTATTTACAATAAACAGTTTTTTTTTTAATCTATGTAGGTACTATGTATTAAAACCTTTTATAACCAGAGCGATGCTTTTGATTTGCTTTTTTAAGCATATTTTTATGTTATTTATTTATGTTAAGATTTTATTATCCTAATCACTTCTAGCTTTCACTTTTATCATCACTTGAAGCAGTAGTAGGGTTAATACTGGATCGTGTAAAAGTGCTTTTTAAAAGCCTACTTGCATAAATAAATTAATTTTATGAGTTTTTAGTTTTTATCCTTTTATATCTTGTTGCTACAATAAACACAAACCAATCATTAATTTTATCCAGCTCGGGGTGTCATTTTTTTTAAATAGCTTTTAATATTTGAAATGCTATTTAATATTTTACTCGTGTTAAAAACCAACAATTAATATGGCAGATCTACAAGAAAATGGAAAAAACTTACCAGTGGGAATGAACGCGAAAGCGATGTTGCAAGCAGCACTCAGGAGATATCCCCCGGACAGAGTGGTCTTCCTTCCAATCCAGTTCAAGAGGAGAACAGCAGAGAAGAAGCCAGGGATCTCAATGGCGCAAGTGAGGATGTAGTTCAGGTACATGGTATCGGACAAGCTGGTGGAGTTGATGGACAGGCCGTAGTAGACGAAGGTGGTGGTGATCCACCAAATGGGAGTCGTGAGCACTCGTCGCAAAAGAACTGGAGATTT